CTCTGTCTCGCGTCATCACGAGCGATTTCATCGTAGGACATACGGTGATCTCGTGCTCTCAGAGCTGAACCACGTGATACTGGCATGTGAGGTTGGGATTGACTCTTGATGCGTTTAAGCATGACACTCCTAAATGCTTCTGCCGAAGCGCTACTAAGTACAGAAGGCTGTTGATGACGCTGTCCGTTATCAGACCTAATTAATGCTATTTCTATCCTTTGATCAAAAGATTCTAAGATGATGTATCCATACCTTCATCTCTTCACGTGTCATTAGATTGTATATTAGAGCTGATATTGTATATTGTTTGCTAGCGTCAATTGAAAAGTCATCCCGTCTAAAATTAAAATATAGACAGACTTTCAACTGAAATCCAGGTATAATAATAGGTATAGAGAAAAAAGACGTTTCCCAATTTGACCCCAAAGCTAATTAGTGTCGCGTATCGACCAATAACAAAGTTTGCCAATTTGTAGCAGTCAATTACGACCGGCAGACGCATGATCTGCCGAATTTCAGACTCACTTAGTGTATGTGTGGCTGCTTAAGGGTATGAAAGACTTTTCACGTCTACAGCCAAGAAATTTAGGTGCTTCTAATACAGTGCTATGCACTACCGGCATGCAGAGCTTTCGTCGAATATAGAAGTCGGATTTCTTAGAAGATAACTCAGGTTCGAATGCTTTTAATCTTACAACGCGTGAATTTGTGGGTAACTGATCAACGATTACATTTGCATCGATCAAACATGATATCAATTGACCTTTAGCATGATCTTCGGGAATGCCCGGCGCACGGCTGAATACACGTCGTTGTGTGATTCTCGATAGTCGAAGCACGTTTGCATAAACACGAAAACGAAAACACGAGTTATACATCTATCTAACAGATACCTTTATATTCATTCGGCGCAGATGTCAAACATCACTACAAATATCCTGTTGTGTCCACATGAGACATGTTCAGGGTCGGACAGAACTCACCTGATTCACGTCTTCTGGACATGCCCCCATGCCAAGAGATTGTGGGACCTCCTGATCAGAAAATGGGAAGGCTTCGGTGTCAGCTTTTACGGCAAGCCTCTATAAGCGATCTTCGCACTTCGACTACCAACTTCTCCAGCTCGATTGGCGCTCGCAATGGACCAACAGCTCAGTGATCTGTCTGCGGAGGAAGCAACGACCTTGATGTACCCAATGGCCAACATGGTGTGTCAAAATATGTGCGTTATGTGTGTGGCGGCTGTCTGGCACAACCGAATGCAGGTCATGAGCGGTAACCAATTCGTATGCGACAATCCGGAGACGCTTCTTAGAATAACAATTGCTCGCCTATCGACGGCACTCCGGGACGTCTGTATTTTTTTCGAGACGCTATGCCCTAAGACGACGGACTCAGCAGTCGGAGTACTCAAGGCGATCTTTGCTATGATTACAAACAATGCGGATCTCCCAGCAATCCCTCTACCCAGCATGGACTCGGCATACCTTCTCTTCTTCGACGGAGGGTCAAGAGGCAACCCTGGTCCAGGCGGTTCGGGTTCGGTGCTGGTGCGCATAACTCGCGATGTTTCGACCCCTACGATGATCTGGTTCGCGTCAATGGCTTATGGCCATCCAACTACCTCGAACAACAAAGCACAATATACAGGCCTGTATCATGGACTTACTACGCAGCGCCACACGGATGCTCGCCGCTTTACGTG